TTTTGTTAAAAATTCATACAAGTGTCCATTTAAAATTAATAGCTTTAATGGAGTATACTGTATTTGGGTATAGTTTGGTTCAAAACACAATGATAGGAAATGTATATTTGGGTATTTTTGAATATACCTTTTTAAGGCTTAGTGAGAGTGTATATTGTAAATCATAATTAAAGTCTTAAACATTTATTTTTTAGTATATTTCAAATTTTGGGTATTAATATTTGGGTATTTCGTGCATGCCGAACATACATATGAGCCGCATCACGACAAAACCAACATAAAGGGTTTGCGACCAGCATGGATCCAGACCAATCTGCGCTGATGTGCAGAATCCATGCTGTTCGCAAACCAACTCTATAAAAAGTAGAGAAACTGATAGCGAACAGCATGGATCCTGATAGTGCAGGCTGGTCTGGATACATGCTGGTCGCAAACCCTTTATGTTGGTTTTGTCCTGACGCGGCTCATATGTATGTTTGGCATGCATGAAATACCCAAATATTACCCAAAATTTGAAATAAACGCTAAACTACCAAAGCATCTCCTGGGGATCGAACCTATGCCAGCGAGGTAACTGGATTAGAAATCATCAACTCTAACCCCTCAACCACAGAGGCAGTCAAATACACATCATACATGATATAAGACTAAGAGATGCTACGATATTATACATGTTCCTACACACATATATATATAAGAATATCTCATGGATAAGACCCTGCTGTATATTTCAGGGGTGGTGGGGGGGGGGGGGTTACTTGAATGTATCAATTAAAATAGTAATGTACAATAAAGAAAACAGATGAAGATTTTATAGACACTGGGGTCTTTTCCATGATATTGTGATATTAAAATCACGAAGTTTAAAGGTTACAAACCTGTAAATCCTCAACATCCCTCAACATCAACGGTGTTGTTCATATAAAAGTAATCCAGTGTGCCCATTTTTTATATAAGCTTCCTTATGAAAGTTACCGTTGAAGAGGTGCTTTCATGCAGTGTCATCATCGTTTTTATTTAACCAATTAAACACTTCATTGTTTATAACTGGTAACAGTCACCGGAAGTTATTGTTGAAGAGTTTGTGGATCATAATATAATAGCATGTAAACAAGATGTTTAGTCTACTTCAATCATGGTCAGACACTCACATTGATATCTCCATAGACTTACATTATAAGAAATGGTCCCTTATCCTACCTTAAAATTCAGTTTTCATGCTAAAGAGGTATTTTTTCTAGCAGAATGAAATGCCTGACACATAAAAATGTTCCTGTTATATAGGGGTAGCCGACCAAATTTTTTGCAAAATGACTTCCAAGAGGATTACCCCCCATTTCATTGAAATTTTCTGCTGATCACAGGACTGACACACACTTTTTATAAATGCAAATATCCAAGTCAAAATTATCACAGAGACTCATGAAATATTTCATTTTCTTCAGAAAACATTGTAGTGTTACTTTTTAAATTAGTTTTTATACTTAAAAATACCCCACTTTCATCCAATCGCCTCATGTATAAACTGAATCATACGGTTTTCCCTGCACTTTTTTTCAGCCAATCGCTGGCCGTGTTACAATGCGTTACCCTGACCTCATAGTTGTAAACTCGCGAATTCCGGTTACAAATCACATACGTAAGCACAACAAAACATATGCGCATTTAGCCAATGCTATGGTATATCTTGAGTCTGTTAATCATTTGCCTTCTAAATGTTCGCCTCCAATAGTGGCAATATTTTAGGTAAATTGAGCTTAAACGATGTAAACATTCGACCTGTGACGCGCGACTTTTACGGAACAATACATCGATTATCGCCCTTCAAATTAGCAAATAAGCATATAAAATCATTTTTGAACGAAAAATATTTCAATTAACACGCATGTACATCGTAAGATATTTACCTGCCCGAGAAAATGGCGTTTTTGATGAATCAATCTAAATTCCTTATTTCTAAGAGCAAAGTTAAGGTTGCTATGTGGCTTCCTTAAAGTTAAGGACTGAAAATCGTATTTTTAAGGAAAAACTTAAGATAAGATGTTTATTAAATCACGGATTTATATTACAGGGATCGGACACTCCCAGTTAACCCTATATAAATGCTTAAATATCTTGTCGTGCACCCGATAAAGGTACATCGATCGATAATTTACCGGCGCGAAGCGTAAATGCCCGTTCGCAACGGATACCTACTTTACAAAATACCATATAGCTTTTTCATTTATTATCCGATTTTGGAAATTTAAAGTTTATTTTGAAGAAAAATACTTGGTTAATTCAAATATCTAATTTATTTTTTAAAGGTACAGTTTATCTGTCCGCAACGACGGTTAAGAAATTAACTTGACGAAATCCGCGGTAAATTTACATTTTTTATATAAAAAGCAGTGAAGTAGACAATCATCGTAACAGTAAAGTTCTTTCGTGTGGCTGTCTCGATTCCGGCCTTTTTAATGTCACTCGTATATTTTAATCCGTATATTTTAATTATTCTTTTTATTTGAATGCCTGTAGAAAGATATTTATTATACTTTTTAATGTAACGCTAGAAAAACAATAAAAATCTTTACAGTTTGAGTCAGTATTTTGCGAAATAAAAGTAACTGTTGATTATTTTTTACACATCGCTTAAATTTCTTTCAAGTTTAATTACTTTTGAAGGGGGGTAAGTGATAATTAAAAAACTTTATTTCCAAACTTTCATTACCAGGTTACATGTGATAATTGCAACACTCAATCTTCAAAAACAAATATAATTTGAATGTATATTTTGTATATGTGCGGTCTTTAACTACAGTTCATGGCATATGTGGTAAGTAAAAGAAAGAGCACCGAAACACGAGGGTATCTGATTTGTACGAGATGGCGTAGCCCCCGAGTATAAATCAGATTGTCAAGTTTTTTATGTTCTTTTTTTTTGTATCATCGGAAAAATGAAAAAGAAAACGTTCCCTGTTGTCACAATATGAAACCCCGGCAAAAATGAACCAATGAACAAACATCTGAATATGACATTTCTGTCGCTTTCCCTTTCACTGCCGTCACAATATGTAAACCCCAGCAAAAATGAGCCAATCAATGGGCATGCTCTGGAGTGCGGGTAACTAATACCCGCACTCCAGTTAACGCACTGTGCATGTATATGTATACGATTTAACCCTGACACATTTTCAACAGAAAGGTCTCCGAACTATGATACAATTAAGAAAATGAAGAGGATATATATAAATACAATGTAAATCTATTTTCTTTATTAACATTTATAAATGAAATTGAAAATAAACAACTAAATTTGTATAGTCCTTTCTCTGAAAAATGATGAAAATAAACATGTGATAAATAAATCATTTGACGTGAATTGTTTAGGATATCTATGAAAAAATTATGTTTCAAAATAAAAAATAATATTATAAAACAGCTGTTCTCTATGCCAATAAAAGTTTCTTCCTTGCCAATCTAATGAATTCATCTATATAGGAATGCTTGTCTAGAATGATCTGAAAATATATTTAATACACTTAATAGTAGAATATTTACTATATTTATACTAATTATTAGTAATATACAGGTAATCAAATGAAAAATGTACAAATCATTTGGAAATAATTCACAGAAATAAAGACACATTTCAAACATGAATTTCTTTAAAAGTTTTTTAGCAATCAAGAAACGTTTTTTTGCAATGCCATCATTAAACCATGTAAAAAATAATTATCTTATTCTGAATCGCGGTAATAATTCGTGCTTGAAGTAAAAGGGCGGCGAAGTGTAGAGAGTATGCCTAAACAATAGGCGAATATTTTTTAAATTAGGTACTTTTTAACTAAGCGTTGCAGCGTTCTATCAGCATATTTTCATATAATAATACTTTAGCGACACAAAATAATACTGTATCAATACATTCATATGTGTATAATTTTTCATAAAGCTGCAATAACACCACATACTCCGGTGAAAATCTGTCATGTTTCGTACTCCGCACGTTCCGCCATCTCATTCTGTCCACCTTTATCCGATTCCGCGCATGCGCGCGACGGGACTTTAAGCTAAACGAAAGTGTCCGATCCTTGTAATATAAATCCGTGATTAAATATCACTTAAGATTTTTCTTAGAAAAAACGCTGATTTTAAGATTTTCTTATCTTTAAGGTCATATTTAAGGATAAGATTAACTTAAGATGTATATTGAATACGGACCCTGAATTATTTTTATTTGAGCGATGTACACGACTCCCTGGATGTGGCGTGTTTATTGGAATACACTTTAAACTCCCAGGGGAAATGTCAATCCCTTTCGACACTTAACTTATTTCAAGCCTTCTTTTCATTACATGTACTATTTGGAAAAGGTTAAAAAGAATTATGGAGTCCAAATTTCGTCACTTACTGAAACACTTTCAGTTTTGCATTTTAAATTACCTCATAAACCGATTTAATTCACCACTACAAATGTTGTTCCAAAGATATATAGCTGCCGACACATGTCTTGATTGAATCACAGGGGGCCCACACAGTGTTTGGATGGTATATACTGCTTGATAGTGACCTTAAAATGAGATTTTAGTCATAACCTTATAATATGTATATAAATATAGACAAGGGGCATTACTCGCTAAATAGAGAATTTTCGATCACCCTCAAATTCATGCGAGATTTTCCACTAATTAAATAAAAAAATTCCAAAAACTATACTGCGTTGCATAGCTTATATAATCCACAATTGATAAACACTAAATCTATTCTGATTCCCTTAGCCCATTTTAAGAAATTTATTCAAAACCGTTAACTTCTGTCACAAAATTGCTTAGTCGTACGAGATGTCGCAACACCAAATTCCACGGGTAAAATATCAATTTCAAAAGGGGAAGGTACAAATAAACGCATGCAAACAATAACACAACATAGTTTCTATTACCTACCTGCGCAAATAGTCGTGAAGCGCTCTATATTCGTCTGTTTCGAACGAAATCTTCAAATCAGTGCAGAAATCTGCTTATGTGTCTTCTGGCAATCTATAAAATTCTCTGTGGACACGCACATCGTGACCAAGAAATGTAGCCAAGACATCTAACTCATTATCTTTCAAGTTGAGCATTTGAGACATTGTAGCAATATGTTTCCGAAAGCCTGTGGTCGTCAAAGTTTCAGGATGCTTTGCTCCACAGAGCTCCGAGAATTTTCTCAAGACATCGGTTGCCCTTAATGGGGTTCTAGATTGACCTGGCCTTGCAAACATGTGTTTGTTTTCATTGTCAATGTCACCAACACATCTGTGCTCTAGCAACAAATCTAACTGTTTTTTCAGGTTTTCAGGCAGAAGAATAGCAACACGTCTTCCTCTTTTCCCTCTGATCTCAACCCGGTTAATTACTTCCACCAATTTTTTTTCCAGAGGAGAAAGGGATTCTAGAATTTCCTCATGCATTGTTTTGCCATGTTTTACACCATTCATGTATTGACTTACTTCTAGCCTTTCGGTTTCCCCAGCTCTCCTCTTGTTAAACAGAGCAATCTGGGCCAAAGTTAACTCTGATAAAGCTTTCCAGTCTGCCTGAGATATTTCATCCTTTTCAACTATAGCACTTGCCTCTTTTTTCAAATATTGAGAGAGATTTTTGAGGTCTTCAGCGAGAGGGATTTGTGAAGGTTTGTTGTATTTTAGAAGTTCCAATGTTTCTAGTGCCGCATGACTTACTTCTACATCCCATTCTTCTTTATACATTTCTATGAAGCCTTCAGCCATTTCGACCTGTTCTTTATTTCCACTAGCCAAGGCATCCACTCTCATTTTTTTTGCCACTTTGTGAAAGGAATGTCCTAATTTTTTTGCAAGTGATGGAATTTCGTACAAAAGACTTGTTTCATTGTATCCACATAGAGCCTTTACTGCGCTGACACAAAGGCTAAACTTCATCGGATTTATAGCATTTGTGGCACCTGTGATCTCATTCGACTCAGCTAACTTTCCCGGATCTGAAAAACATAATTTGTTACATAATTAATAAACGCATTGGAGAGTTTTCTTTCAAGTTGGACATTAAATTTTGTATCATATACATATTTGTAAATATACCAAGTTTTTTTTTGTTGTGCCTAACACTCTAATTATCTTAAATGGCATAATCCCATAATTGTATCCTGAATGACATAAAATGTTACTTTTTATAAACCTTGTATTCCATCCATATCTTTGTTTTCATTCAAGTTTTGAATGCAGTAAAGGGTTACCTTCAGTGTGATCCTCTTGCACCTCAAATTTCTCTATGTGGTCATCAGGATGGACAGGGGTGGTTCCGATAGCCTCCGTTTGGAGTGTGGTCCCCCCGACCTCGGCCTCTGCCTCCAAACTGTCATTTGTGGCACCTGTGATCTCATTCCACTTCAGCTAACTCGGGATCTGAAAACAAATTTTGTTACAACCCCTTTAACAAACACATGGATTATTTTGTAATAGTGAAATTGACAATACATATAGATATACTGATCTTTTTTTGTTCGGTTTACCTTTACTGGTGTTGCTTTCAATGCCAATATTTTAACAAAGAAGAGAACATTGGTCAAATTAATGGAAAACTCTAATTGTATGTGACCCCCAAAATACAATTTAAATATATACTCCTTCAAAAAATGAAAAACTGTCACTGTAGTAGTCGCCACACTGGTCCTCTAATTGTAATGTAAAAACTATCAGTAGTTGGCTAGTTGCACACTGGTCCTCTAATTGTATGTAAAAACTATCAGTAGCCACACATTGGTCCTCTAAAGACAAAGTTCAAGATCAAACTTTTCAGTTGCAGCACCACCCACTTTGTTGCCTTTTAAGATCACGTAACACTGGCTGCAATTCGGGCCCTTCTTAAATTACCATGAAGGGCCCACTTAAATTACCATGAAGTAGGGGTGTCATCGATTCAATCGATATCGGTATATCAACGATCTTTGTTATCCGATTCAGAGTTACTGTCACGCATGTCTGCTAAGTGGATGTAAAGACCCCTCAATTCAGATTTTAAAAAGGGAAAATGCAAAGAAAAATTTGTCAGTGTTTCTTTGTAAAAATTATGATTACAAAATGTTAAACTTTAAGAACTATTCAGGTTCTAAACACTATAATTTGCCAATTAAACCCGGCTTAAATGGAACGGCAAGGACGGGATTTAGCATGATCAGTAACTACGTAATAGCAACAACAGCAACTAAAGTAAAATGGAAAAGGCTTTAAACTTTATAGTTACTAGTCATTAGTTTTCATTTATAGCTATATGATAAAACAAGAGCCCGGTTTGAGCCGGGTGATGCTCCCCGAATAGGTTTTGGACACAGGAAAGCACACCTCTTGTAGTTTCAGATATATGTCCCTGGAAAAAGTTCAAAGTGCAACAATTCCAAAATTAGGCAAGGCAGAGTTACTGTTCTTTGCACCGCACTACTATAAGGGGAGATAATTCAAAAACCGGGCAAAATAGAGTTATGGTTCTTTGACACTACACTGCCCCTCAATGCCCTCTACCACTGTATGAAGTTTCAACAAATTATCTCCAAGGGTTTTCAAGTTATGCTCCGGACAAGACAGACGGACAAGGCGTCGACTATATGCTCCCCCAAAATTTTTCGGGGAGCATAAAAAGAAACAAATTGTTCAGTTTTCATAGTTTATCTTTTTTGCATTTGTCTAAATATAACTGCTTTGTCAGTGTCCTTAGGAAGCATTTAAAAAGACTTGAAAGCTAAAATTTAGCCTGACAGTCGATATGTCGCTGTATCGCCGATAATTCATTACCAATGTATCGATACAAAAATCCTTATCGATGACACCTCTACCATAAAGGGCACCCCTCGGTCACAAAGGAGATTAAATTTAATTTCATATACATATTTGTAAATATACCAAGTCTTTTTTGTTGTATTGTGCATAATCCCTTAAATATACCTTGAATCATTCAATGACATAAAACGTTACTTTTTATAACATCTTATTCCATCCATATCTTTGTTTTCATTCAAGTTTTGAATGCAGTAAAGGCTTACCTTCAGTGTGATCCTCTTGCACCTCAAATTTCTCTATGTGGTCATCAGGATGGACAGGGGTGGTTCCGACAGCCTCCGTTTGGAGTGTGGTCCCCCCGACCTCGGCGTCTTCCTCCAAACTGTCATTTGTGGCACCTGTGATCTCATTCGACTCAGCTAACTTTCCGGGATCTGAAAAACATAATTTGTTACATAATTAATAGATAATTGTGCGCCTAAGTGTACAGGCTGCGAAAATTTTTGTGCTCCTTAAATTAATTTTTTGTGCTTTAAACGAAAAGTAGATTTTGCTGGAAAATTGCATTTAGTGTCT